TGACACACTGAGAATTTGGTTCTGAATTGTTACCGGTGGGGGGCCAAATTTTTCCCAGTGATTCGCTATTTTAGGCTAGATGAAGTACCTACAACCACCAGAAAGATGTTTTGGTAGTTTTTAAAAGGTCCAATGTTTTTTTGAAAAGGACCGGCGAACCTATTTCAAGTCCACACAATTTTTAATGCAATTTATCCGGTCCATTCTTTCCGTTACTTCACTCTGTTCAAACGCTTTGCCCTACCGAAAGTGTACTATGACGCCCCTCCCCCCGAGGCAACAGAACCGCGGGAAATTCAAAAACGCAAGACGACGCCGGGCCATTTGCATAACGGCACCGTTCCGGATGGTGCGAGGCACAATCCTTTCGAATTTCCATATCTCAAGCCCTCCGAGCGTCTCTATTGCAAAATCACTCCTCTGAATTTTTCAAAAAAAAAACCCTGTAAGATGTCGATGTAGGCATTTTTGTTCTGACACGTTCAAATTTTTCATTCGGGAGATTTCCGTGCAATTGTAGGCTTAGAATTTATATAAAAGTTGTTTTTGGTTAGTAAAAACATTTTTTTGGACCTGTCTTCGCGGATTATCATTTTTGGTCCTTTCTAAATCGAATGCGATTGAAACAATTAGTTTGGGAGCCAGATTAAGGCGCAAATCAAACCTCTCGCCCATTCAGGAGCACATAGAATGGACTTTTCCTGAGTCTTAATATTTTCTAGACCATTACTAGCAGGAAATTTCGGGTTTTAGATAGTTTTAAGCGCGCACGACAAAGCGGGCATAAAAATCGACTAACGATATAAAAACAACTAACTTTCACGGGCCGGTTTTTCGCCCTCAGGATCCGTGAGTCCAGGGGCGCGCCTTAGCAGTGACAGCCGTTTATGCCGCGTAATGCAACTGATTACTCGATGTTTTGTTGAAAGAAAAACTATTTTAAGTGTAACAAACTATATTGCTTTGATCGCAAGTTTATTTTACCCATAATATTATTATACTAACGTTCACGAGGGCGCATTGCATATAATTTTGCAGGTCGACGCTTTGCAACGGGCCGCTCTATCCTTACTTTCTTGCATGTAGAAAACAAAATACTTGGAAAGCATCGTGCAGGAATCTACAGGAAGACAATATCAAGTATGTCGTCGAGTCACCTAGCTTCTTGGCTCGATCGCACGGCTACTACGAATGCTCCAACAATAAGCGCGACGCTGAAAAGCTTGAATATGACGAGGATGGATCAGGATTGACAAAGGCATTCTAAAACCAGATATGCGACTTGTGACTTGATGGTATTCAGCAAGAAGCTCTCAGGCCGCACTTCCAAGCGATGCACGATAAAAGTAGGGGTTACTATGCTCACATTTGTCGAAAACGCAATTATGAAACGCTAAGGTTTTTCTGGGGAACGAGGAAGTTTTCAAACAATGGGTTAGACTGCCAGAATGCAAGTCCAAAACGTAGGCTGCCGTTCTTTCTTTCGAAAGTAAATTTCCGGTTCACACGGTTATTAGCGTTGTACCTTACGCTAGCGGGTATTGGGCATCGGCTGACATTGTGGAAAGCGAGCAGGATAACTGCACTGTCGTGGTTCCGAATTGCTCAGAGCATATTTTTACATATATAAAATACTTTCTTCAGAGGTGCCTGCACGATGCTTTCCAAGTATTTTGTTTTCTACATGCAAGAAAGTAATGATTGAGCGGCCCGTTGTAAAGCGTCGACCTGCAAAATTATATGCAATGCGCCCTCGTGAACGTTAGTATAATAATATTATGGGTAAAATAAACTTGCGATCAAAGCAATATAGTTGTTACACTTAAAATAGTTTTTCTTTCAACAAAACATCGAGTAATCAGTTGCATTACGCGGCATAAACGGCTGTCACTGCTAAGGCGCGCCCCTGGACTCACGGATCCTGAGGGCGAAAAACCGGCCCGTCTAACTTTCACTAAACAAGATCACATTTGCAACTTACGTAGCATCCTCGCTGATGAGTAGCAAAACCACCCCAAGTCCAAGCACAAAGGACAACACAATAGCAGCGAAGTTCATGATATAGTAATCTGATCGCTAAATCAATATTTTCTTAGTAGGGTCAACTGGTAGTGCCAATTATTCTTTCCGGAAGGGATGGGATCGTAAACGGATAATTTGGCAGCAGCCGTTATCTCTGTGTCTCATACACCGGATGCCTTGATTTTAATGGGCCCATTTCCCTTTAATGGGTAATCCCCGGTTATTCACTGCCGGGACTCCTTGAAATAACTAGGCGGAATGACAAGGAAACGGGAACGAGTAGATTAGTAGACTAGTTGTAGAAAGTTCTGTAGAAAATAGCGTTTTTCCTAAAAAAAGTAGCTTCCTATCGGGCCGAAAAGGTAATTTGCTTTCCTTTACTGGTTTTTTTTATGAACTCTTACTGAATTATCGTCGTTATCTTATCCTCTACTGGTTTTCTGTTTTTTTTTACTTTTTATACCTGCTATCTCGATTT